GACTCTAATTTGGTTATGCAGCATGCGGTGTTTTTAACGGAACACACACTACAAATCTCTTTGCATGGGGTTGTGGTGATGTCAACATGAGAGTGTACTCTGGACTGGCAGAACTGCTCTATTGCTTTCCTGTCAGCTTGAAAGAGATGTGTGGGTAGGGAAGGCTTGGTCATACGGGACAGTGAGATTGGAGGAAAATGAACAGAATTGACTTGAAAGAAAAATCAGGAAATGGTGTTAGCTATCCACACTCTTCTGTGGTGCTGTGGGGAGTGAGCCAAAAATACATACTGAGCAATTCTCTGAAGCTACAGCTCTTGTGTTAACAGAGCTCTGCTTATATGTACTATTTCACTGGCAGTAACTCTGTTAATTTGCACAGTGTGTAAAATACTTTCCTCCTTTCTCACATATCAATTCAAACAGACAATTCTATTTAGCTGTAAAAGAGCAGGAGCACTGGGATTTTAGTCCAGCAGGCACTAGTGGGGACTTCGGGAAGCCTTGAGTGCTAACAACATCTGGAGAAAAGCCCCAAGTAGGAAGAGAGCTGCTCTGCTCATCAGAAATATCAAACTTCTCTCACCTCTCCTTAAGAAAAAAACTTGTCCACAGAGCATAAAAGAAAAGAAAGTGCTCTTGAAAGTGCTTCTAATTGAGCTTGTTAAGTTGTGTGTGTCCTGGACCTAATCCTCTTAGAGCTTTCAAAGCAGTAGCTGCTCTTCTCATCCCTCCCTAGTCCAACAGCAAAGCCACTGGCAGCGCTCAGATCAGAGCGCACCGAAATCAGCAATGGCCACTGGCGTTTTCTCTTCTATCCTTTGGGGGGAGACTTAGCAACACAGCGCCCAGACAGCGTGCCGTGCTAGTCCAGCCGTAGTAGTTTTAATAAGTCCAGTGTGTGCCAGGTTCCCCCCTCACCTTGGGCAGTGGTAGTGCCAGTGTTCCCTGGTAGCGGACCGCCAGGTTCCTGCAGGTGTTAAGCTCTTCAAGCCAGCACAGCGTAAGTTAGTTACTGGGAAGAAAAATATTTTTCCTATTTTGTCTCATTCTTTCCCACCCTTTTTGCATTGCAGCTGGTTTGAAGGCAGGGGTTATTGGCTGTGGTGGATTTGCTGCTTTCTCCGCTGCAATTGATTACTATCTACGGTAACAGTGGGATCCCTTGGGAGCAAGTTTCCCTTTTGTTCCAGTGCTGCTGCTAAGAGCCTGCATCACGGCAGAAGAACCATCAGGCTTACCTTTCCACTGCCTCTGGAGTCCCGATCAGCGCAAGCTGGATGGTGTTGGCCGCTTTTCCTGAATGACTAACAATAATCTGGCTCTGAGCCCTGGCGTGCTGCTTCAGGCAGACTTGCGGGAGTATGCGAGGATGGAGTCAGGCGCAGTGAGCAGTATCTCCAGGACGGATCAGCTGACTGTCAGTTTCCAGGAAACAAGCCTGGACTCTGAGCTTTTTCAATCCTTTGGGTCTGACTTTGATTAAGTCTGCTGCTAGCATCAAAAGAGGCAGGAGGACAATCTTCAAAAAGAAAGGCAGTGATTTAGGTTATCATGTATTTGAACGTGCTGCAAGTGTTTTAACAGTTATCAGTTTGCAGCTTGCTACTCGGTTGAGGAGAGGTAAGATCCTGTGGAGAAATAAGTTTGTTCCAGGTTTTTCTTAAAATACCAGCTGAAGACAAACCACCATCTGTACAACTTGTCTTATTTCGAGTACAGAGATGAGAGCCAGATTTCTTTACCATGTCTTAAAGGGAAAAGCAAAAAGGAATCCTTAGCCTTAGAACCGCGTGGTTACTGGCAGATGAACAAAACAGTTTAAGGGGAAAAAAAGAGGTTGTTGCAGAAGTATAATTCTCTGTAGCCACTTGGCTAGCCTGATTTAACCTCACTGTGGGAGTACAAATAATCTTGCTACTGCTTTAACTGCAACAGGCTCACACCATTAGTTCCAGCAGTTTGATAGTGAGACTAGAAAGCAAAGTTGTGAGAATAAACCACTGTTAGACAGATTAACTGGGCATTCACTTAGCGCACAGTCTGTTTCCCATCACGTACATCCCTGTACCACCACTGAGTGCCCCAGTGTTACGCTGGGGGAAGTGCAGAATGTTGGTACTGAAGTCAACATCTGTTCATTAGCTCAAGGAGCTGCTGCCTTTTTGATTTGCATTCATATTAGCCCTCTTGCTCTTCTAACCAAGCGCTGTTCTCAGACCTCAGGGGGTAATTTTTATACTCTGAATAGTTTAGGCTGATTTTAACCTCCATTGAGCCACTCCGCAATGGCAAACACCCACCCTCATCTTTTTGAGGCAGTGGGATTTCAGATTCAGTGCACACGCCTAATAAGGGTTCTCCCAGCCACTTCTCCTGCTTTGCATCCACGGTTTGACATCCCAGAATAGTGACAGCACTTGCTTACCTGGAAGAGCAATACTAGCAGGGTAGTTTGGCAGATACAGTGGTCAGTGGTCAGTTTGGAGGCATGCTGTCTATCATTCCCACAGGGAAAGAAGTGGGGAGACAGCACCATGTGATCTATCAGATGAGGTTTCCAGATTGCCTGATGTCCCTTGCTGTGCCTGTTCAGTATCCTCAGGCCAGAAGCTGTGCAAGTCAGCTGAATTTTAAGCTTGAGTAATTCTGGGCTGATTAAACAAGCTGGCTCCAGACAGTCCAGGTTTTTTCCTCCAGAATGTACTGAAATGCAAGGATGTAGCCCAAACCATAAGATGTCTCTTAAAAGATTGCCTGGCACAACGCCTGTGCTTATACCACTGGCTTGAAGTGCAACTAGCAAGATTTCCACAACTGAAAGAGAAGCTGTGATGCCAAGGTGATCAGTTAGTGCAAACAGCAACACCACAGGGCTCCTTTTGTGCAAATGTTGGGGCTTTGCATTTTTATTAATATTTTTTTTCTCCTCACATGGTTTACAGCCATTTAAAGTTTATAATCTACAGAAATTGAAACAGAACACAAACAAAAATATATCCTTAACAACTTTTGAAAGTCAAATATTAATTAACAGTTCTATTCTACCTGTAGCTGCAAGAGTCCACCCCCCCTCTTCCTTCCTGTAGGGACAAGCAAAAGCCAGTCATGGGGACGGCCACAGCCTGTTGTGCCAGGGCTGTGTGGACCGGGCCTCCAGCCACTGTCGCGCGGGGGGAATTTGGCTGTACAGAGTCTCCATCTGGAATGACAGTATCGTGGACAGAGACTTGGACACATGTAACAAATCAGACACACACAGGGATCCATTGTGCAGTCAGATCTAAAACTCGGCCTCCTTACTGGGTCCAGGGCCAAGACAGACGCCTGGGTCTTTTCTGCAATGCTGTTTCCCTTCTGTTTAGCTGGTAGTCAAGAGGAGCAGGGTCTGGAGTGTGAGCCCTTTGGAGGGGGACTGAAAGACCTCCCCTCCTTTAGTCGCTTTGCTGGTGCGGGGCCGGCAAGTGCTGCCTTCCCCGGGGATGTGGGCTTTGGACATACCTGGTGCATCAGTGGCAGGCGGCCGGGCTCTACCTGGAACAGTCTGTTAGTCAGGAGGGTAAAGGCAACGCTGCTGCTAGCAGGGATACGCTTGGTCACTTCTCATCCATCTCCATTTGGCACAGGAGAGCACGGGGCCAACGCAATCGGGGAGGGGGAGCTTTCCCACAAGGACACGGACTCGGCTCACAGAGCGAAAGGTTTTGTGTCCCAACAGGTACCAGTACCTACCTGTGAGTGTGGGAAGGTGGGGGACATACTGGGAGCCAGGCACTCGGGCAGCCGGAGCACAGCCTGGCAGCAAGCACAGACACGTGGCTGTCCTGCCTTGGGACATGGCATGACAACTCCAGCCATCAGCCTGGGGGTCAAGAACTGGAGCCACTAACTAAAATGGACCTGAGCTGGCTGGGCACAGCTAACCCAGCAGCAACTGCTTTGTGAGAAAGAGAAAATGAAGCACTTCTGCCTTCAGTAGTGAGGGCCACGAAGGCTTTCCTCCTCCTGTCCCTCTGCGCTGGTTTCCAGGCTGGGTGACCGTCCAGCTGCCTCAGAGCACTTGCCTCCGGCAGGGCCATGTGCTGCCATTTGCCCAGGGCAGTGGGGAAGGCCAAGGAGGGAAACAAAAACCTCCCCATTCTCGTGGCCACATCAGGAACGCTGGTGCCCCGGCAGGCTCTGCCACGGGGCACAGCCAGTGTCGGCAGTCTTTGCGGCAGTGGTGGGCTGGCAGGGGCGCGCGCGCCTCGCTGCGGCAGAGATACGGGTGTACGGCAATGGCAGGGACCCCGTTCCCCGCCCCGCCAGGGCTTTTTGGGGAAACTGGGATCCACGTGCCCTGATGGGACCCCCATCAGTGCCAGAGCACTGCCCTGGGGTCAGCCTGTGGTGGAGGAAGCAGACCTGCCCGGCTGGCCGTGGATCGAGACCAGCACAGCACCTCTCGCTCCAGCCTTGTGTGACGGGTTACCCAAAACGCTACTTGGAGGCGAGATACAGCGAGGGAAGTAACCGCCACGCTACACGCACGCAGGCAAAGCGCAGGATAAGGGCTGTAGAGGGGACTGGCCTGATAGCACCCAGAAGAGACGTGGCGAGGAGGAAGCAGCACCCCGCTCCTCTGCTCTCGTGGTCGCGGGTTTGCTCGGGCCAGAGCAGGATCCAGGCACGGGGTCCAACGTTTGCGCAGGCAGCAAGCCAAAGCAGAGCTGGTCATCACCGTCACCGGGGAGGGAAGCCCGTGAGCTCCCAGCCTCTGAAGCAAGCCGGTGCTGCACATGCAGGCGTGGGGCAGGGGAGCTGGGCAGCGAAACAGGCACTCGTGGGACGCTGCAGGCTTCGAGCTGGGCGAGACGAGGGGCGCCTGGTAGAGGCGAGCAGGCAGAAAGGAGTCCAGGAGAAAACTAGCCAAGGGGGAAGCCTGTGTCCACAGCCCTTGTCAGTCACTACCTCTTCCATTGAACAAATATACATAAAACCAATTCTTGAACACAAGAAGGGACATAAGACACGACTACTTTACAGAGAGGCACGGCGCCTGGGGTAGGACCGGGCCACTGGTACGCGATTGTACAGGAGCTGCAGGCGGCACCGTCCTGGGTCCGGGCCGGTCTCCCTGGGGGGCTGTGATCCAGTCCGTGTCCCCCAGCAGGGAGCTGGGAGTGTTTGCAGCTGGTGCCTTCTCCCTGCAGGCTACACGTCCGTGGAGAAGTAAAGTGTGTTGCGTTTCAGCTCAGTGAAGGAGATGGGAGGATGCTGCAGGTAGTAGAGAAGGACCTGGACCTGTAGCAAGCAAATGGGGGGTGTTAGGCCAGAAAGGGGCAGAGCTGCCACCTCCCAGCTTGGCCCTGTGCAGCCACATCCAGCAAAGAGCTACAAACCTACCCAGACAGGCAGGTAAACCCCTCTGCTCCCCACACTGCCAGGACGCCTTCTTACCTGGGCCATCACGTCGTGGGACCAGATGTCGGAGGCCAGGGTGAGATGTGCCTTGCTCTCCCCCTCCGAGGGTCTCAGCAGTGTTGGCCCGAAGACCGTGGCCAGGTTGTGGAGAGACATTTTGTTGATAGGCTCCTTTTCAGCTACCCTGCAGGGTACGGGCAGAGAGGGAACGTGAGCCCCTAACGCTGTTCTCCCGGAATGGGGCAACCACGGGGCGATGGCGGGGGTAGGGGGGCGAGCGCTGGTCTCCCTTCTCCCAGCTCCCAGCCCTGGCAGGGTACCTTTGGCTTGCCATTGCCCATCACGGCCGCCGGCAAACCCAGGTGCAGGGCAGGGAGCTCTGCCCCCTTCACGGCCTCCGCCGGAGCTGCCGGGCCTGGCTGGGAGCCCCAGGAGTGATGTGGCAGCGACCAAGCCCTTGCTTGCTTATGTGCTGCGGGGCCTCCACCCTTCCCAAACCCTGGCAGGGTATGGGGAGCTCCGCACCAGCTCGTGCCTCCCCGCACCTACTCCCCCCCCCCAAAAAAAAAGTGCTCCCTACCCCACCGACCCTGCGGGGACCCCAGCCAGCCTGTGTCGAGGGAACCAGGACCACAACATTGCCATGTTAGGAGGCAGCTGCGCTCCCCGGCACAGGCTGCACGGTTGAGCCCCGGCCAGGGGAGCAGATGTGGGAACTGGCTGTGCCCAGTTCTCAGGATGCAAATGGATTTTTTTCCTTCCCCACCCCCCTAGCATCAATCACTTTTTCTGTTTGGTTTTAGCCAAACCAGAGGGGGAAAAAAAAAAAAAAAAAAAAAGCTTCATGATGCAAGTAACATGAGCCGTGAGCCCTGGTCCCAAATTCGTGGCTAGCTCTGGACAGGCTCTGCGTGCTGCACCACTGCCCCGCCCACAGCCCCGTGCCCTCCATGGGTTTCAGGTCCCCAGCGAGCCCCAAAACTGTCCGCCCCCAGGTTTGCATGGGCTTCATCTGCGCCAAGATAAAGCCTGGCAAACCAGGCATTGCTGCACTCGCCCCGGGACGAGCGACACGGGGCGTCACCTGCAGCTTTGGGACATGTCTGCAGAGCTGACTTCTCTGGACTTTGGCCACCCGCTACAGACAAGTTACAGGGATTATTGCACCTTGTTTTGCAGGACCTACTGCTGGATTGGTGGGAAGGGACGCAGCGCTCAGTTTTCCCGCTCAGGGGGACACTGCGCAGCTCCCAGCTGATTTCCCCATCCTGCACCAAGGCCAGCCGCTCCCCGCAGAGAGCTCGTCCAACCAGCTGCACACTGGCTGCAGCAGCCAAGAGCTGCATCTCGCCAGAGGACGTGTGCTCCCTGCAGAGCTGACCCGCATCAACGGCCGTGCGCTGCAAAATCCCTGCTGGCACCGTGGCCGGTGGTCCTGGGGTGCTGGGGGCTGCTCCGTGGGGCACAAAGGCTCCAGGATCCCTCCAGGATCCCTCCAGCATCCTATGGGGCCCACAGAAAGAAGCCAAAGGGATTCGTGGCATGCCGAGTCCCAGCCTGACCCTGGCGAAAACGCTGGAGCCCGGGGAGATAGAGCAGGTGGGACACACCTGGGGCTGCACCCTCTTGGAGGGGCTGGGAGAGGAAAGGGCTGCTCTGCCGCCTGCCCGACACCGAGCTGCTGTTGCCGGCCCTGGCTGCTGCCTGCAGCCCTGCTCTGCACCAGCACAGCACCATCTGCCTCCAGTTTGGAATCAGCCTGCGGCTGCACAGGCACCACAGGAATCAGACAGCGGCTCTAACTCTGCTCACATCCCATTCGCACGGAAAAGTGGAGACAGACCCATCCTGCACCTCCTGCCCGCTCCAGGCAGCCGCCCGGGAGCCGCAAGCCGAGCCGTTACCTTTTCAAGTGCTCCAGCAGGAAGAGGAAGGTGATGAGGTTGGGGTCAGGCAGTGAGCGGAGAAGGTGCATCATGCAGTTCTCCTTGGCAGCAGGATCCGAGAGGGCTGGAGACAAGGAGGGAGAGACCTCAGGACAGGGGCTGGTGACGTCTTGTGCAGCAGCAGGACCCACCACGACCAGATGCCTCCCAGCAGCCCGCGCATGAGCGGCCGACCCTGCCCCGCAGGGCTCTGCCTCCACCCTGGGGAGCAGCACCACGAGCCGGCAAGGACAGCCAGAATCGAGTGGGCTAAGTTGGGAAGGACCCTCAGGAGTCTCCCATCCTGGCGCAGGCAATGCCAACCAGAGCCACACTTGGGCACCGACCCCTTCCCCATGCCCGAGCCCTTACCGATCCCCTCCATGAAGGCGGGGTAGAGTCTGTCAGTGAGGAGGGGCTCAGGCAGCTCACGGAAGTACAGCTTCAGCGTGCCGGCGATGGCGTTGATGTCCATGTCACTCAGCATGACCAGGATGTCCTTGTTATCTGTCCAGAGAGCACCCGCATGTGATGCCTCCTGCACCTCCTTCCCCTCTGGGTCTCAACCCCCCCACATCACCCCGGCTGCCTGGCCAGGCTGTTGGCTGGAGGGCAGGGACAGCCCTGCCGGGTCCACAGCACTGTTTAGCCAGGATGGGGCTGGGAAGAGCTGAGCAGTTCCCGCCTGGCTGGGCAATGGGACGCGGAACAATTTGCAAATCCATTTGCAACACTGCCCTGACTCAGTGTCTCCCAGGAGCCAGCCAGGCGTGGCGGCAGCTCAGAGACACCAAGGCACAAACAAGGCTGGGACCTCTGGGCGTTTGCTTTCCCAGCTACACCCTCCTTCTCTCCCCCAGCCCCTTCCTGGGCACACCGGCACATTTTGCACACATGCAGTGCAACAACCAGACCCTGGGCTTGCAGGGCAGGGGACCAGGAGCATCTCGGTGCCTGTGAACCCTCCCAGGGTAATGTGACGCAAAGGGCGGCCGTCTCCCAGGACACTCACTTGCATCGAAGACGGCTTTCAACGCCTGGATGTCAGTGGCAACGCCAGAGATCCTGTAGATGCCGACCTCTTCGATGCCCCTCTTCTCCACCTCCTCGATGCACTGGCGCACGATGTAAGGCACCTTGGAGCGCTCGCGCCTGGCTCGGAAAGCAGAGCCATGAGGAAGAATTCCCGGGGGACCCTACGGCAGCCAGCTCAGCCCTGCAAACCCTGGGCCCACGGGCAGGAGGGACATGCCAGGTGGGACATGCCATGGGGGTGGCGAAGGAACAGACGAGACCGCAGCAGAGAGCAAAAGCTGAGCTCTCCGGTGTTGGTGGGAGTAAGGGGACATGGTGCAACCCCACAACCACAGGGACTGGAGCAGATCAGGGCCCCCCCCCAGCCCCGCACGTACTTTGTCACGACGCTGATTTTGACCCCAAAGACGCCGGTCTGCTTTTTGGATGGGGTCCTCTTCAGGCTCATGTCTCTGCTTGTGAACTTCATGGAGAACTCCACCTTGATCTGCAGGAGACAGGAGGTGACTCCCAGCAGCCCGGCCCGGCCCCGTCACCTCAGTATTGCACGAAGGCACAGCACAGCCCCGGGGAAGGGGCTACAATCAAAGCGAGGGGCTGTGTGTCCCCGCAGCCCTGCTTACCCCGTTCATCTCAATCACATCCATATGCCAGTTCTTCGTCTGCACGGCCTGCGGGTCCAGCTGCGGGGAGAGATGGTGCGTGAGCTCCGCAGGGATGCAGCCCCATGCCAGCCCCACTGCTGCCCCAGCCTGGCGGCCCCCGAAGCCCCCTGACCCACAGACAGCGTGCGGCACGGGACATGCTGTTCTCTGGTACCGTGCTGCCCACGCCAGAAGGATGGAGAGGGAAGGTCTGGGGTCCCTCTGTCTGTGCCCTGAAGCCGGGTGGGCTCAGCCTCCCCACCCTGGCCCCCTGAGCCCCTGCTAGGCAGTGCTTTAACCCACACCCGAGAAGCAAGAAATTTCCAAGAAATTAGGACTATTTCTGGCAGCAGATTGATGAAACAGAACTAGGGCAGTGTTTTCCATGCAGAAAAACAACATCTCCCCATAGCCAAGGCTATTTATAACCCCTGGGAATGACAGGCTCCGCTATTTCTGGCTTTGGGGCAAGCGGGGGACTTGGTGATGCTGCCCCGGCGCCCAGCCGCCGTGGCGAGGTGCTGGCATTCCCAAGGCCCCAGCAAGTGCCATGGTGGGCGCCGGGCCCCAGGGCTGGGCAGAGGCGGGTGCAGTTGCCTTTTGGGGCTTCTCGGTCCCCAGCTGGTGGTATCGATCCAGCCCCATCGATCCCCGTAATGCACAGGGCGGGCAGTGGGGCAGAGCCCAGCACTAATGTCCCCTCGGGGAAGGGGATGGGATGTGGGAGCTGGCAGGGACTGGTGGGGGCTCCCGGGGCCACGTGCACGCGGCTGCCATGCGATGCTCGCGCCAAGCGTGCGGGGTCACTCCTCAAGGACACGGGAGTTTCCTACAGCTGCTGGGTTGGGAGATGCTCCGGGCGAGCGCAAAGATGTCCAGAACCACTGCTCCGGCCACAGAGCTGCCATTCCCCTGCCCCAGCCTCTGGCTGCCCGTGAAGCCACTACATATCATGATCGGTGGGGGGGACACCCTGGAGTCCCTCACGTCCCTTCTCGCACACCAAGACCCCACACTCCCGAGGACAGGATCGAGCTGTCCTGGTTCTCGGCACAGAGCCAGCGCTGTGGCATCGCCCGCCGCCCAGCCCTGTGCCACGGTAAGCCCGAGCAGTTCCTCGGTGACTGCAGCACCACGGGAAATTCTGCGGTCTCCAGCACGGCCCGGGAATGGCTCCTGACGTGGAGCCTTCCCTGGCGCTCCAGCCTGGCGCACGGGAGAGCCCGGCCAGCGCCACGCCACCTCCTCCCCGCCAGCCCTGCGGCTGCTGAGAACAGCAGCGGGGGGAGCAGGAGGAGGAGGAGGAGGAGGAAGGCTGCAGCTGCCCTGGGCTCCCGTGGGGCCCTGCAGCAGATTTGGACACCAGGATCACGAGGCTGCAGCCAGTCCGCCGCCAA